ACCGTGGCGATGGCGGACGCGCCCCGCTAGCGTGCCATCTCCGACTCGCAGCCAGCCTGGTGATCATCTACAATGATGAGGAAAGATTGATGGGTTGGCTGATTGCACGTCCCTGATTATTATAGATGACAGAACTGTCGAACAAATTACCTGGACTTTCCCAAAATGGCGGCGCTTGAAGCCAAAACGGCTGACCTCCCGTTTAATTGTGTGCGCGGCTCCTAAAGAGGCTTTTCACGTCACATCTATCCACTTAATCAGCGTCGCCATTGGTGACTCAGCAAAAACTTTTGGACCCCACCTACCCCCACCCTCTGGCCTTTGTGGATGTTTACGGAAAGGCAAGACGGGAACCCAAACATGCACTTTGTCCATGTATACACACCGCGATACCAACAGCAATTGCCTACTGGTTGCAAAAGTTGCACCAGAGTCCTCCTCACAAATTCCAGACAGTATATGAAACTTTGAGTGAAGTAAGCCTTTGGACCGCCATGGAGATGTTTCGGCGGTCGTATTCAAAGGATCTTTGTGCGTTACGCAACGTGGATGATCTCCAGCGGTTTTATGAGAAAACCTCCATTTTATAGCTTTTGGATGCGTTCAAAGTTTCCTTCCACGCTTCCAATGAGGACTAGTTGAGAGTGGAGGTTTGTCCTCCATATGGAGATGGTTTGGAGCGAGACGTGATGAATCTCAAGTGTCGCTTTTGGTTTTCAGAACATATCACACCATGGCGTCTCTTTGCGTTGTCGCCTTTTTTTCGGTGGTTGTCAAATCGAGAGGTCGGTGAGCTGGAGCTTGGGGGTACACAAGCAAATGTAATCCCAAACCTTGTTTAAAACGTGCCTACCTACATGGTGGGACAAGGGGGCAATCAAACAAACATAAAACCAAATTACTCTTCCCTAGTTTGGCTCTGCGACAGTTAAAAGCTCTGATATGATTGCAACTTGTCATTACATACATCTGACATCCCTGCATGTTCTTTTTTGGGGGGGGGGGGAAGCATTTCATTTCTGGAATAAAATCCTATTTTATTTGAGAGTGAAAGGCACACGTTTTGTCAGAATAAAAAGCCATCCATTTTCCGATCCGCTTTATCCACACAAGGATCACGCGGGGGGGTGGACTCACGAAAGTTTTTTTTAGCGACTCAACCGAGTTCATGTTTTTATTCCTGAAAATTAACATTTGCTTTCAAAATAAAGGTGAAATAAAGTTTTTCACCTGATCAAAGTAGTCATTCGTCGACCTGACCGCGAGGTCATTGGGGACGCGTTCGTGTTCATTCGTTAGCGCTCTTTTGTTGCTCTTTTGTTGCTCGATGCTCTGCTCGTCTCTTCCCTGAGGTCAACGGACCGACCTTAATAAAGCAACACTGTTTTGGAAATTGGCGGCGCGGCGTTCGACTGGTCAGCACGTTCGCCTACGTATTTTTAAGTTTCATTCTCGTATTTGAACTTGAGCTTTTCATATTCAAATGAGTAAATGTGCGCCATTTATCATTGTTTAGGGGTGTAGAAGGTCCACCCCGCCAAAAATATTTTCTAAGTTAAAGTAGCGGACAGTAGCACTTGTCCCCTGCAGGCCTGGAAGCCATGACTGCTTGAAAAAAAAAAAAAAACACTCCCCTGTGGAAAACAGTCATAGAGTAACCTGTCAAACAGCATGAAAGTATGTGAGCTCAAGTTTGGTACATGCAGCCTTACACACACACACACACACACACACACACACACACACACACACACACACGAGGAGAGGTTCAGCTTGTCATACAGCCAACACACACATCGGCTGATGGGGAGCTTTTTAAACAAAACCATCATATGTTTTTTTTTCACGATTATGACACAAAACTGCAAAACGTAATAAATAACAAACAGGTTTTGTTTTTGTTTTTTTGCCCTAAGTTTGGTTTGGCCGTCTGAAGCTGTAATGAGTTAATTTTAGAAAACAACCACATTGGCACATATAACTGTGTTTTTTTGCCTTTTTTGGCTACCCGCAAACTAAAAATTTTCATTAACATCATGCCCTCCCCACCGCATAAAACATTTGCTTGTGTAAACATTGCCCATAAAGTCTTCTACCTCAAATGTGAACCCGCCCCCCCACACACACACACAAGATAGAGAAAAAAATGTTCACAAAATATGCAACCCACCTATATTTGGGTGAACGAACCTGCATTCCTCAAAAAGTTCAAAAGCATGCATCGAAAAGCCCAGATACCTCAACCCAATAGAAAATTCTACAAGCAAAACAAATGAACAAGACAATCACGCCAACACTTGAATTTTTTTTTTTTCTTTTTTTTTGTGGGTGGGAAAGACCTCCTTGGTTGAGGTCATGAATCTTAAATATAATGTTTTATGGGGACAAACTGCATCCAGTCTCCTCTGTAGCAGGTAAAATGACGCCTGCTGTCCAAAGCAGGGCTCTTTGGAGAAAAAGAGAAGAAAAGGAAAAACTAACATCTTAATAAATCTTAAGTCATATTTTATGTGGCGCATGTCCAGGCCTCACAACTACAAAACGGCCAACAAACTCCCCAAAGGGAAAAGAACACTTTATACGAAGGTTTCTACGGAGAATGTGAACAGATCAAAGACACCTGGAGACAAGTGTCAGCGGTACACCCAACATGAAAACCAGAGGCTGAAAGGCAAGCAATGATGAAGCGCGGGGAATAAATTGCATTTGATGATCTTGTAAATACGACTGACCTTTTTCTGCCTCTACAAATGTCGATTTATTTGGCAAGGCGTGACATGGAAGACTTTGGATAAGTTGTCGCGCCTGCCGTTTATTTTTGGGTGCCCCAAAAATTGAGTTTTGAAGACAAAATGAGAAATTCCCACACTATGACGACATTCCCCCCAAAAAAGAAAAGATTACTTTGACCCTTTTAAGAATGAAAATCAATAGTCATCGTTACAAGCACATGATGTGGTAAGACATGACCTATTTAAGTCATCCAAAACAAAGGACAATAAAAATGTGTAACCCATTTCCATAATTATGTTCAACTACTCTGACTTCACCACAACAACCATTCACACTATTATCGTACGTAAAAAACAAACAAACAAACAATAACCTGCTTTTTAAAGCATAATGCCCTGATGCCTGGCCAGATCACGGTGCATTCCCGTCAACTTTGCTCTCAAAAAGTCTTTGTCTTGGCCCGACCGGTTTGCCAGATGGACCCAAGAACTCCAAGTGGAGCCTCCACTTCTGCCACAAAGTAAGCCCATTGACTCGAAACCATTTGTTGATCTTCATCTAAAACCGGTAC